ACTATTCATTGTGCCTCTTGTAAACTTTGGAAAGCCTGCAGCCACAGCCACCAATCCTTTGCTTACTGTTATGCATAGAGGCCCCTACAGTCGTGTTTTTCTTTTTCCTTAGATACTAAGAAATTCTAAAGAAGTTAGTAGAAAAAGATAACATTGTTAAAATATCATTTCTCAGAGGAAATCACTCTTCATAAAATACTGACCATAGACAGCTAACCCTCATAGTACTACTGTTCCTTCTTATTAGGCACAAAGAGCTGTATTGCATTATTTTTAATGTTTACTTCTTTAGACTCAACTTACCTGATGCCATCCTGGGATCATAAACATTCATTTTAGTTTTGGTCAGAACATTATTCACTTTGCCAGTAATTTCAAAGCCAGCACAATGTCAGGGCAGAAGACTGCATTTCCAGCAAAGAAGTAATTTGAATGCTGACCAGATCGTCTTCAATGCTCCACTGTTGCTTTCTATTTAATAAAATTCTCACTTGGTGAATATTTTTCACAATAACCAAAAGACAACTGGAGACATCCTGAGCCTATTTCCAAGGATGCTGCCATTTATAAAACCATCCTGGTAGTTACACATGTGGTTCAGTTGGTAGGACGATTACCCAGCACGTACCTGACCTTGGGACCATCCCAAGGAGGTGGTACACAACTGTTATCCTACACCAGGGTGGTGAAGGCAGAGGGCTATTTACATTGATGTTCTTCTTGTTCTTGTTTTAGTTTTCAAGACAGGGTTTCTCTGTCTAGCCCAGGCTGTCCCAGAGCTCACTCTGTAGAGATCCACCTGCCTCTCTGCCTCTCCGATGCTGGAATTAAAGAAGTACTTCAGCATCCCTGGGCTTTAGTTGGTTTTCTATTCATAAGTGTGTGTGTATGTGTGTGTGTGTATGTGCATGTGTATGTACAGATGCACACATATGTGTAGGCAGATATGTGTAAGAGACAGAGGTCAACCTTGGGTTCCTTCAGATGTTATCTACCTACAAACATTTTTTGTCCTTTGTATGTATATTCTGATTGTTTTATAGTTATATCTCTTTTTCTGTTTTGGTTTTCGACAGGGTTTCTCTGTAGCCCTGGCTGTCCTGCAAATCACTCTATAGATCAGGCTGGCCTCAAACCCACAGAGATCCACCTTCCTGTGCTGGGAATAAAGGTGTGTGCTACCTCCATCCAGCCTTGTAGCTTTCTAATATCTGAAGCCATTAATGCTAGCTTTTTAAAATTTTCTTCCACATACTTTGTGTGTGTGTGTGTGTGTGTGTGTGTGTGTGTGTGTGTGTGTGTGTGTAGAGCAGAGGAAACCTGTCCCTTCCTTCGATTTGACCACACATGCTGGAATTCATGCAGCATGTGACTTACCTGCTGAGCCTGCCAACCGGCCCTCTTTTCTTTCTTTCTCCCCCCACCCCCCCCCCACAATCTCTCCTATTTTTTGAAATTTCACCAGGCTTTCACTAGTTTGCCCAAATGACAGGAAACTCACTAAATAGAGAAGGCTGGCCTCAGAGATGCAGGAATTAACACCAATTACATGACTAAGAGGGTAAATGTGCATGGAGCCTGATGTCAAGTTCAAGCTCCAGAACTCGTGGAAGGAGAGAATGGACTTGGATGCCTGGAATCCACCTTGACAGGAGAAAACCAACTCCAGCAAGATTCCCTCCTCACGGTACATATCTCCCCAACCTATGCACACACACCAACAAACGAACGAATAATGAATGAATGAATGAATGAATGAATGAATGAATGAATGAATGAAATTTTTACATTACAATCTTTCTGCCTTTGTTTCCTATGTGTTTGGATCACAGGCAGCCACCGTGTACAGAGGTTTTTTGTTTTGTTTTGTGTTCTGGGTTTCCCCTCCCAACTTTAATACTCACTGTAGAAATGTCTATTAAATAAGTTCCACGTTTTGTCACCTATAACCCTGAGCAATTGAAAGGAAGGAGAAACGCATCTCCCAGTGATTAGTTTTACACTGTAGCAGTGACTCTCACCAAACATGGGATCTGGTTAATTTCAAAGCAGAGAACAGACTAAATAATAGTAAAGAAAAGCCCTCATGGAGGTACGGCTCCTGACTAATCCAAAAAGCTGTAGCAGGCTTAGCTAGAGACGGGAGACACGTCTTAGCTGGAGAGAACGATTACTGTCCAGGCAGGTGGGGCCTCTTTGTCTGAGTTCTCTAATGGAGGCCACCAAGTGCTGCCTTCTTATAAGCTGTGAGGGGAGAATGCAAGGCCAGTGGAGATAACATAGCCCAACTTTGCATCGAGGGAGGGAGAAGGGACACAGTTAAAACTCAGAGGTCCATGGATTGGAAATCAAGTCAGATAGCTGCATCCTGGCCAACTGGAACCTGATGTGCTGTTCCAACTGTCTCAAACTACTGTGCTTTGTTTACGAAGAAACACTGGGGATATGTTAGAAGCCAGATAATCATTTAGTGGATCCAACAGTGGCCAGCAATTAAATTCCTAGCCGCTTTGAAAATGCATTGAGCAAGTTGTCTTTTGCAAGTTTTATTTCCCTTAAAGACAAATAATGCTTAAAAATCCTCAGGCCATTGCACGCCGGCTTGCATTTTAACCCTCGTTTCACATTCTTCTACCTTATCAAAAATCCCAACACCAAAGGCTATATCAACAACACAACACAAAAAGGGAAATTGGCAAGCAGTATATTTTATTCATTTGCTGCAGTGGTTTAAGCCAATTCACACAGCACCAAAATGTAATTATGTTTTAAATGTCCTTTATTAACCAGTAATAGCAGTGGGTAAATTCTTCCGATGAGAAGGTAATGGTCCTGACAAGAAATTGGAAAGCTGAAGGAGAAAAACATACAAGAAAGACTACCAATCAAAATTGGAACAATTATTCAAATGCCAGTGTTATATGTCTCTAAATACAACAGACTCTAAATACAACAGACTGTGGCCAAGAATGACAGACAAGAATTCAAGCACGTAGCTAGAAAGGGAAAGGGACAGTGCAGAGGCAATACATGAAATGTTAGCATGGAGGTGGGCCAGGGGGACCAGGACCTGCGGAAGAGGAGAGAGGAACGGTTAAGTGACAGGAAGAAGCAGAAACAGCTGGTTTCGTCATTCAGGGTAAAGCATTATAGTGTTAGGCACTTCAATGCCAGTGAGGTCTTGGAAGCAAACAAATAACGAAGGTCCATAGCTGTAAGGTGGTGGCTAATTTATGCAACTATAAATTACAAGTGAATGCTCATGTCTTCGTTCTAAGAAGCCGGTGGTCAGGGTTGGGGAATGTATCATAGTTGGTCTATTGCTTCCCTAGAATGTACAAGGCCTGGGTTTTATCCAGCATTCAGTAGGCATAGTGGAGCGGGCCTTTAATCCCAGCACTTAGGAGGCAGAGGCAGGTGGATCTCTGTGAATGAGGCCAGTCTGGCCTACATAGTGAGTTCCAGGATGGCCAAGAGCTATATAGTGAGACCCTTTCTCAAAAGAAAAGAAATTACAACAAAGATAATAAAATTCCCATAACCAGTTAGGCAGAAGTGGCACAAGCCTTTAATCCCAGCTGGGAGATAGAGATAGGAGGATCTTCAAGAGTTCAAGGCCACAGCCTGGTAAGCGGAAATAAAATTCCTATAATCCTACCCCCATTTTGTCTTATTTATTAGTAAAAGTATACATTAGTAACACAAAAGTAACAATGAACAGTATACATTCATTGATACAATTACCACATGGATGAACCAACACTGGCACACTAATTACATCTTTCTAAGTTTCCTTTGTCCTTCCATCCTCCTCCTTTAGGTTGGATACCCAGCCACCATGCCAGTTTCTTCAGCCTTTACTCCATCACTTTTCCTTACCAGGCCTTACCAATACCTTCAGAGTCATTTCCTGGCCGCAACAGTATTTTATAGGATACCCAGGTGCTGCCTGTTGCCTCTCATGACACGGGGATATGTATCTATATTCTAAGACCTCGGAGGAAAGTTTTCCATTTGGTCATGAAGGGGACACTGTCAGCATGACTTGCGACTGTTGGTGTAGACCTTGGCCACCTGGCAGGGTAGTGTGAACAGATTACTCCACTGTAGTCAGCCCATGCCCTTCTTTCCCTTACAGGAGGAAGTCTTGCAAACTACACTTGAGCACACTAGGCTCCCTTCTTAAAAATGGAGTGACTCTACAATGCCATTCTGTATATGTTCTTCTTCCGTCTGCTAGGTCTGGACATGGACATAGTAGGGTTGCAAACAGATTGCGCAGCAGGGGTGCTACTCTGACACAACCCCCATAGTGCAGAGCTTTCTTTCATTGGTAGCTTGCGTTATGAAACTCTACAGACCCAGCGGGCTATTTTCCATGCCAGACCTAGAATTCATCATTTCCCTAAGTCCTAAGTGCTCACATTGGTCACATTAGGCATCAACACTCCAGTGTTGCTGTTGGATAAAAGTCTGTTAGAGGAATGACTGCAGCCCAGCTGTCAACACCCGTAACTATGTGCAATGCTGTGGGTTTGAGCCCCAGCACCGGGGGCAAAAAAAATTACAACTTAAAAAAAGAGCCGCTCCTGGTTGGGTGTGATGGTACACACCTTTAATCCTAGCACCAGGCAGAGGAAGGTCAGCCTGGACTACCTACCAAAAAAAAAAAAACCAGTTCCTATTGATCTGATAATATAATCAAAACCCACCCTGAATTTCACTTTCTAAATAACATGTTTTGTTTTTTGTTTTTTGTTTTTTTTTTTTTTCAGACAAGATCTCACTGTGTCCTTGAATTCAGTCCCTGAGAGGCTGGGATTATAGACAGGCACTTCCATATCCCAGGCAAACACCTGATGGAAATCCAGGTCACTGGGCTTTCTTTCTCCAAGTCTGAGAGTTTTCATTTAACCTCCCTGAGCAGACCTATGCAAAAAGCTGGTTTTAGGATTACACTGTGCTCATTATCAGCACAGAAGGGAAAGAAGACACCGTGGAAATCTTTTAGGCACTTTTTTATTTTCCAAAAAAAAAAAAAAAATTGTCGTTAATATATAAACATCTCATTCTCTCAAAAAATTCTACAACTTTACAGCTGTTTGCTCCGATATTTGCATAGGAAATGACCACAATACAAAAATAAGAGACAAAGAAGCCAACAGCAGCCGGTTTACACTTTTGATGTAGGTGTCCACGTATAAACATCTTGAAGCCTCTTACAAAACTATTTACACCGTTTGTCACCTATTTACACATTGAAGCAACTTTTCTAACAAACAAAACTATAATTTATCAAGTTATGAAAATTGTTTTCTAAAAAAACTTACTATATTACCACAAAATAAATAATGATAAACAATATCTTAAAAACAAAAATTAAATTTTCAATTAAGACCGCTTTTGGCATTTTGCTTATGATTTCTGCCCTTTGGTTAACAGCATCAATGTCACATTCCTATGATATTGCATATTGGTAAGCTTTCAACATATCACTGATATTAAAGGCAGACACCGGAGTCAGTATTAACAGATTAACTACACTGCACTGTAATTTCAATAATAAAATTACTGTGTCTCACTGGATATTACATGCAAAAATCCACATAAATTGTCATTTAGCCAACAGTAGGGCATGAGCAAACATCCCAGTCCAAGAAAACTGCACCAGAAACTCAACGCTTCCACAAGTGCAAACAGAATCTTAAATTCAGCAATGACACATGTGACAGCCACATCAGTCCTTCACAGGTGATACTGTTTAACATAAGACCTTTAGTGTCTGTGTCTTGTAACTATCTTTAAGTTCATATAAAAAAATCTTTTATATTTAAAATAAACAATCTTATTTCAATCAGAGAGTGAAATTTGCATTTTATTCATTCGAATGATTATTCCCTCCCCAAAGAAATGGATTTGGTGACTTTTGAGAGGTACCACAAATCCTAACTTTATGTGTATTCATAGTTATTCAAAAGAAGTATGATTCCCCCAAACAATCCTTAAAAACTTGTAATAAACCTATAAAGCTGATTTGCATATTTACAAAATTTTGTATAGCAAATATAGGCAACTCATATTTAAAAAAAAAAAACACACATTTGTTCAATGGCTATTTGTGAATTGCCAGGTACACTGTGTACCTCCGCTATGGAAATAATCTAATCTTGAGAAAAACAAAAAACAAAAAACAAAAAAAAAAAAAAACAAAAAACAAAACGAGTCCACGTCAAGTAAAATCTTGACAATCTGTCCGGGTGCCTGCCAACTGGTTTGTTTATACTAAACAATGTCCCAAATGATGGCGTGTGCAGTCTGTCTAGAAACAGCATACGCACCCCGTGCGCCCCCACCAGTTCCCCACGCTGAGATGCGGCTGCCTGTCTGGAGATGAAGTTTGCTGGAATAAAGCCAGCGGTGAGCACGACAGCAAGTTCCAGGTTCTCAAAACAACCAAACACTTTGGTATTAATACAATGTATTCCCTGTGGCCTCAAATATACAAAATATACATTTCCAGTTTTTTTTTTCTTTTTCTTTCTTTTTTTTCTTTTCCTTTTTTATATGAAGTTAGGTCTGCGGTTTAAAGGGTGGCGGAGCGGACTGCGAGGCATCGGGCGGTTGGCGCAGTGCTCAGCTCTGGTGGCGCTTCATGTGCAGCGCCAGATGGTCGGAGCGGGAGAAGCTGCGGTTGCATACCCCGCACTGGAACGGCTTGGCACCCGTGTGCTTCCTGTAATGGCGGGTCAGCTCGTCCGACCGCGCAAACCTCCAGTCGCAGCCCTCCCAGTTGCACTTGTAGGGCTTCTCGCCTGTGACAAGAAAAGACAAGGTAAGGTGGCCTGCTGCAAGACTGAGTGCGGAGCCCACCACACTGTGAACTAATCAGCGCATCCCTGCCACGCATCCCAGTCCTTCCATGGAGGATGGATGCCACCCGCAATCCTCAAGAAAAAGGACGCCTTTCATACGCTGGAGAATCGGCTGGGTGTGGGCCACCGCCTTCCTTGGCACTCATGGCCAGCATGGTCTACATAGCAAGTTTCAGGGATGCATACTGACATGGAGATCAAGGGAAGGCTGAAGAATGGAAATTTTAGGCAAATGCAAAACAAATTAGTCTCCCTGTCTGGGGCAGTCCTAAACCAATAAATCCTTAAAGTGAGCGTGTGCCTTTGGATGATGTCATTTTTTTGTTTTGGAGACAGGGTTTCTCTGTGGCTTTGGAGCCTGTTCTGGAACTAGCTCTTATAGACCGGGCTGGGCTCGAACTCACAGAGATCCACCTGCCTCTGCCTCCCTAGTGCTGGGATTAAAGACGTGCGCCACCAACACCCAGCCTCATTCCACCATCTTTATAGTCACACTAGCACACAGGTTTGCACATACCCCACATAGACTGAAGCCCAAACCAGAAAACACTTAAAACTTCATTGCTTTATCTGAACACTTTTGCATTTGATATATAATACTTTCTTGAAATAAACTAGGATCTGCTACTGATAAATTCCCATTGGTTAGGAGTCAGACTCCACCCCAGATTTACTGCATGGACAATTTGACAATTGTCTAGGCCACAGAATTTGGTGGAATACAAGAAATGAAACAAAAAAGCCAGGCTCTGGGAGCTCAGCTGACGCCTACAAACATGGCCCAATTTCCTTTTCTCTTTTCCCCAGCCCTCCGCATCTAACAATGAGCTGATATTTGAGCCAATACCACTGTGCAATTTGTGTATAATTCCTAATATTCTCCCAAACTTGCCAGCCCTTAAGTTCAAAAACCGCTTAATATTTTTAGAATATAGTTTTAATTTGCTGTGTTAGAATCGACCCCATTGAAGATGAAGCAATGTCCACACTAACTGCAGCTCCCACAGCTTGTGGCCAATATATCCTCCACTGTCCCAGGCTCACGGGACAAAGAAGCAAAGGCCAGAATGGATTGCATGAAGCTGGCCCCATGGCATCACACCTTCACTTACAGGAGACTCACTCTGCTTCCCCCATCTTCTGCCTCTGACGTGAGGCATACTGATGACTAACCCCCTTTTTGGTTCCTACCATTCCAGTTTTTCAAATGCACATCTCACCTAGGCATGCTGGTAAAGTCCTGTAATCTTGGGGAGGCTGAGGCAGTGGGATTTATGAGTTTGACACCAGCCTCAAAATGTCAAGTCAAACACACATCTCAATTCTAGATTTCTCCTCCATCACGGGGGTGTGCAAGTGCACACGCACGCACACGCACACACACGCACACACACACACACACACCTTTTGTGTGGGTATTTCACCATGTAGCCAGCAGTCTGGTGAATCTAAAAGTATGTACTTTGTCCCCTCATAGTAAAGGCTATCTAGAAAGTCTTGGCTTTTAGGTAACACAAATGTCATTTCTCTTCCACTTCTATTCACACACAATGCTGGATTCACAGAAAGATTTTAGCACTAGTGAGAACTGTAACTATCGGGGTCACAGATGTCAATCAAACAGAAGAACTTCACACAGAAAAGTGAAAATAAATGACAGTAACAAGCATGGCTTTCCTGCCATTCCATGGGGGAGAGGTCCAATTCTGATGTATAAATCAAGGGGGAAAAAACTTCCTCGGGAGCCCCAGTTTAAGAGGGATCATTCAAGCCTTTTGAATTTAATAATTACAGACAGGGAACCAAGCTTTCAGGGTTTACTTTAGAAGCAGGGGACACTGGACTCTTTTTGTTCACTGTTTTTATTGGCTGCAAAGCCATAAACTGCAATGATATTCTGTAAAGTTGACTTTACTGATTGGTTGACACACAGTAGCCATTAAAGTTCCTAAAACATTTGGGGTTTCGCTCTCCGTTTATGTGCATCTATAGCCTATTCAGCCAAGAATGCCAGCACTGTCTGCGAGGGCAGTCACCAAGACCAAGGCTTACTATAAAAGCAAGGACAACTATCCTCCACTTGGGGCAGTTTCTATGGGATTTGTTCAAGTGTCAACACTGTTCAAGGAAAACATCGTAGAGGAAGCTGGTACCCCATTTCTGGCCTAGCAGCAGACTCAAGCCTTTCTTCCTCAGCCAGAAACACTACGGTCAGTACTTCTGGGAAAGCAAACTGACTTCCTCCAAGTTGTATTTCAACAGGGTAGAGCTTTCCAAAGTAATTGGATTTTTAAAGAATCTCTTTCCAATGCCACCGATTTGAAATACTTAGTTAAGCTCTTTCAACATGCCCTGTGTTTTTAAGTCCTCTTACTTCTAGCATCAAGCAATGGAAAAGAGAAAACAGTGGCGGGGTTGTGTGGCCTGGAAACGTCTCTGCTTTATCTCGGTGTGTGCATTTTCTTCTCTACCTTTAAAGCCACAGGGATGGCTGAAGAACCCCTCATCTCTGAAAATATGTCCAAGGTAAAAACGCATATGCCCCAGGCTAATAAAGGTAGCAGAGCATAGAACCTCAGGAGAAACAGCTACTGTTGTAAGAGACAAGGTGTGATCAGGGCCTCCAGAAGCCTGCTCTGGAGCTAGGTAAATCTCTCCTTTGACTCGAGCAACTCCAGAAGTTAGAAGCTGACCACTTGGCTCCACATTAAGAGTCCTGGCCTGCCACTTTCTTTAATGTCCCAGTTAAGTCTTCCATTAGTAACGCCGTCACACTCTTTGAATGATTCAAGCAATGAATACATACTGCTCAAATTTACTCAGATTCTGCAGTTTCTCATGAAGAGAATAGGATGGACTCACAGAGGCCCTTAAAGCTGTGTGAGGTGCAAGGTTCACTGTGGCTGGACTAGCCTCTTACAGAGCTTCATCTTTCAGGCGACCGGAAACTGTTAGTACTAGCACAGGTAATCTCCAGAAGAAACCTTAGGGAGGTTCCTTCCACTAGGTTCAAGAATGCTTGTCTCGCAAACTATTCAAAAACATCCTCAGTAAGAAACAATATTATCTGTTTTTGTATGATAAACACACTTTGGAAATGGCTTGTCAATGAGCAGTGGTGGTGCACGCCTTTAATCCCAGAACCCAGGAGGCAGAAGCAGGTGGACCTATGTGAGTTCAAGGCCAGCCTGGTATACAGATGGAGTTCCAGAACAGCCAAGACCACAGAAACCCTGTCTCAGGGGAAGGGGGGGAAAAGGTTTCTGTACCTACAATAGAATGGGAGGTTTCTCTGCTCTGTTGAACACATTCAATAGTTGCATGCCAAGGTCTTTTGCTCGAAAGTTCTACACAGACTGTTGTAACAAAGGAAATGAGGAAACTCTAAGGTTTACTACAGCAAATTTCCAAGTTTCCTTCTCAGTGATGAAAAGACAGTCTAGTCAATATTTAATAAAGCTGCAAACCACCAGAACTGAAACCAATGTTAATTCAAGGGGAATACCACCTTCACTAAATGCCTAGCTTGATAAAAGATTTGGGGTGTTCACTTCTAAAACAGACTCACCATCAGCTCTGCTTCTTAATAATCAAAAGGGGAAAATAGAAACTATTGAAGGCATGGTGGAAAAATAGTATTTACATATCTGATAGAACCGATAGTGATTTGAGCTCATTGGCTTTTTTTTTTTTTTAAACTATGCAAGTACTTTTCCATGAAAAGACTTTATTAGGGTTAGTAGCAATCTCCTTCCTACACTTCTAACAGAGAAAGCTACCCTTCCTGGACGTCAGTAATGGCCCATCTGAGGAAATTAGTATAGATATTATGGAACCCTCCTCTTGATTACATAATCTCAATTTATCCCATTCCTCTAAATCCAATCCCTTCTACTCCCTCCCTCTAGAAAACCTGACAGACCATGCATGGCCATGGCATTCGGTATCCTCACCACAAAAGCTGACTTTGCCTGCGCCAGGGATGCCGTTCAGCGGTACAGAGAGGGTGCTTTTCATGAACATGCTGGCGGGTTCAGTCCTGGGACCGCATGCACTCGAGTGTGTTAGCGGTGGGCTGTTCTGCATGCTCCTGACTACCCTTTTGTTTTGCATTCCTCCTCTACTGCCTCTCTGGAAACAATGTTTGACCCAAGTCTGAGCAGTTATTTTCATGATGAAGATGAGGGCAGGCAGGAGGCTGGTGGGAGGGAGACCCGGGGCCACTGGGGCAATCGACTACGTTTTTAGATGAGCACTCTGCTTTGAGTGGCTTCAGGATACAATACTAGAATCCCTTCCCCTGAAGGTACACAGATTCTCTATAAGCAAATTTCCTTTTATAGAACTGGAATAGTCCCCGTAGTTCCGAAAGGCCACAGTGCTGGTCACAAGCACCAAGGGACCTTATCCAGGTCCAGACAGCAGGGGTAATCTTGTTGCAGGGGGCTGAGGGGCAGGCGGGGTGGGTTCTTTGTTCCTATGTTTGGCTACTTCTCAGCCTCAGCAAGCACTAACAGCTGAAAGGAAGTACCAATTCTCAAAGCTCCTGACAAAGATGCCACTCTGGACTGTAAGTTCAAACAGACAAATAAAAACACCTCAAATGTCAGTGAGATGCTCTCACCCTTTCCTACACACAGCAGCGCTTTGAGCTTCCCTCACCTGGCGACCCTGCCCAGCGGCCTGCCCGCCTCTTTATGACATAGTCAAAGGGAAAATCGTTCTTCGAAGATGTTTTTAGGCAAAATAAAATAAAAAGCTAGCTACTTTGTGCTTCTAAACCAGTTTTGTCCTTAATTAGACTCGTTAGATATCCATGAATATGAATTACACAGGCAAACAAGAATCACTTCCCCTCAAGTAGGGCATGACTTTTGTTTCTAATCCTTCACCAGAAAAGATGTAGGCCACATCAGGTAGAACTAAAAATATCCGGCAAAGGAAAATTCCTGGGCAATTAAAATATATATTTTTAAATACCGCTCTCTGCATTCCTCCGACCATCACGCGGCTGACTGCCTCTATCTTAGTTTCAACAATTGTATTTCATCTACGTAGAAACTGTCTCCTCCCACTAGCTTAAAAACTAAAGGGCAAAATCAAATTAGTTCTTTGGATTCTTCACAAAACCAGTCAGAAATGTCTGCTGAATTAAATTATACTTTGTAACCTTTGATAAGCTGTATTATCCAGAAACAACGTTTGATCACTTTCCTATGTCAATGTTTTTCAGATGAGAGCACTCGTCCCCGAAGCAAAGTTTAGTCTTCCCAGTGAGTCATTAAAAAGAAACTGGTTCTAAGCGTTCATGCTCATAAATACCTTTCCAGGGGTCTAAAGCAACAATGTCAGAAGCCACTGCTTAAAAATGTCTGAAAATCAATGTAAAAAATGGACTTCAATGCTAAGAGTGAAATAAAACCCTGGAAGAATATACTAATGCCTGTCACCAAACACTGATGCTTTTCAATGTGCCGTTTTTAAATATGAAAATCACTAGATACTGTATCTACAAAATATTTTCCTGGTACAATTATATTCTGACATGACAGCTATGCATCTAATATCCATCTAGTCTAGATCCAAACCGTGTGACCTCCACCATGCCATCCCCCATTATGGCCTGCCATGAATTCCTCCCTGTTTCTCTTTTAAACCCTTTCGCACCATTTCCACAGAGTAGTCTAGATGTCCTTTTTAGTGGGAAAAACATCTCAGTTGTCAACATTATCAAAACTATGTCTGATATAGATGATGGAAAATGAGTTCCCAGCAAAGACTCTACGTGTATACGTAGGACCCTTAGACCCCTCACCAAACAGACACCCAGGCAGAAACCAAAATTATGTACTTAGAAATACACATGGAAACAACTTACAAACAAAAGTCACTAGATTAATTTGGTTCCCACAACATGTTAAGGGACAAGGGAGGGATTTGCCCGTCACACTGGAGGACAGGCAACATCCACCAGTAAATCTTGAAGTCAGTACTCAAGACTCCATGTCGGCTTGTGGGAGAGTGTCTTTCTAACTTAACTGGCCCTGTTCTTTTTCATCCCCTGGCCAGCCCAGCTGTGCCTGGACTCGGGGGTTGCTGCTCCCAGATTTTTAATACAACTAACTGCTAATTCTACCTTGTTGCAGGAAGCCAAAGGCTGAAAAGTGATCTACAGCTTCATAATGGAATTCTGGGAAGGAGTCCGGGGGTGTAGCTCATTGCTAAGGCAGAGTACAATGCAGAAAGTTCCATCTTTTAAAGACAGCATTAAGCTTATGAACACAGAAACTACAGCTGTTTACAGAAGATTGTTTCTCAATCATGGTGAGTTATGAGGGCAGAATTATATGCTCTTTGAAAGGCAGTCAGAAGAAATTTTAGAATGATGGCAATGTGTACCCTCCCTTGTAAACATCACAAGGCATAAGAATTTCAATGAAATGTTCTTTTAAATGCTATTAAAAGTACAAATATTTTGATTTGGGAATAGACCACTTATTGACACTGTTGCCTAGAAGCAGCCCTAACTATTTCTAAACAGAAGCATATTAATGTGTGCACATGTATCACAAATAACATTCACAAGCCCCTACTCACCCACTTAAGGGAGGCTTACATGAGCCCACAAGTGTGCCGTGCAGAGTTCTGTCTCGGGGATTTTTTTGTCTGACTGTACATAGAAGAGCTTTAAGTTCTTGTACGCTTTCTCTATATAGAAATCCCAGTCCGCGAACTTAAGACAACTTGAGTGCTATGATACTTGCAACTCAAAAAGCAGACTGGCATTTACTCTTGTCCCTGTTGACGAAGAATGAGTTGTGCAGTGGACAGGCTATTTGCTTAGAGTCAGTCACTCTGTGACCTAAGTTAGAGTCACTCCCTACCTGGGACCCCAGAAATAAGCCATTATACACAACACAGACGAGGATTGTTTTAATTGCTTAAATGCACTGAGACATATGGTAACTCATTTAAAAGCAACTACAATTACTTTGCCCAGAAATGCTGGGCTGCTTCAAATTCTGCCAGCAACCATTAGGAAAGCATTTCTCTTACTTTGTCAAATATGCAACACTGCCATATAGTTTCAAAAGTCCCCTAACAAGTTTTCCAAGGGGAGGAAATGGGACAGAAAGAGAAACAAGACAAAGCTATTCAATAAAAGATACTATTCAGAAAAAAAAAAAACAAAAACAAAAACAAAAAAACAAAAAACAAAACAGTTTGCTCTACCTGGGCATTAGAAAATAAAAAGAAAGCACACACACCAAGCATTATGCTGGTTTCCTGTGCACTCACTGAACAAGAGCAGAGGGAGGAGGAGACAATGGTAGCGAGCACGCAGGTAATTTTAAGAGGCATTGTCTAGAAAACTAGAATTGAGGAGAAAGCCTCATGCTCTGTGATTACCTAAGAACGGGTTTGGCCAGATGAGCGAGTCTGTTACAAACCCTCCCCAAGGCATTTGAAAGACTATCAAACAAAACTTCATTAAACTACATTACATGGTCTTACTCATTAGATGTTTAAGGCCACAATATTTATAATCAAGTGAGAAGGTCACTGCATGGGACCCCTAACTAGGCCGAGATCTGACCCTGTCTTAGTTTTCTTTTTTATTAACACAGGCATTGTTCAGACTACCCACTATTAAGTTTCTTTGCCAGCAGCAGGTCAAGTTCCAGGATCCTGGTACAAGCATTCAGGGCAGTAAACCCCGACGGGTGGAAAGGCTATTTAGATATGGCCTGACGACATCTCCGCAATAAGCAGTTGATTACATCGTTATATGCAATTGCACACTTCTTTTATTATGGGACTTTAAACTCGAAAATGCATTCCCTCCTTCCTATCTCCAGTTTCAAGGACTTCTGATGAGGAGAAAGGGGGGGGGGGGGCGGGGAAGAGCAACAGCAATAGTTTGGTGTTCCCCCAACACAACACTAGTCCAGAAATGGCTATTTTAAGTTTTTTTTGTTTTTAGTATTTCTATACACATCGACTGTGTTTTGGAAATTTAAGATTGGACTTTATCATATGCTGGACTATTCTGTTTGTGATTGCTTGCAAACACACAAACAAACAAAAGCCTTAGGCCAAAACAATCCATTCCTATCACAGATAATTCAAGAGACAGGCTTTTCTGGGAAAGCCCAGGTATCTGCCACATTGTCGCCAGTACCATTTGGATTTCACTAAGTGTTCAGCCTTCGGATATCTAAGCACTACTTCCTAACACACATACAAAATGTCTGCAACCACTCTCTCTCGGGGCTCTGGTTCGTCACCGACCTTTGTTCAAAGGCTTTTACTTTTTAATGTAGCAGTTAGAGATAACTACTTCATTTATCAAAACTCAATTTCCATAGTAACATCTAGCCTGGGGAGATCCAAGTCCTCACACTAATCCACCTCCAACAACCCATTCAAAAGAACTGCTGAATACTCTGGTTTCCATAGCAATGATGGAATAATACATTTTGCTAGGTCACTGCTTTTATTAGGAAACTTATTCTTTGAACTTTAGGTGAGGAAGGTGTATTTGAGGAAAAACTGCAGTCACTTTTATCTATTTTTCCTTCGGGGCTTCTTTTTATTATTATTATTATTATTTAAAGAAAATTACACTAGTAACATTATCCAGACACTTGAAAATATTATGGGTATGTGGCGCCCTTTAATAAAGCATGCTCCCAAATTTCAAAATTAATAGTGCCTACAAAGGACTGCTGTGAATCTAACAAAACAAATCATTATAAAAGTAGAGACTAAACTTAAAAGTAGGCTGCTTCAAGTAAGGATGCAACGGAAGATGGACTTCAGATGAGGACTCTCAAACCTATGTAGTAAGGGCTGAGGTTGGGTGTGGAGTAACGTTTAATCTATTGCCCTTCATTCTGACCACCCTACTTTAATACCCTGCAGATTTTAGGCCTACTTTCCAGACAGCAAGATACACTAAACACAATCTGTGAAGCCACCGGTATTAAGCACTATCGCTTAACATGATAAGTGGAAAAGTTTTTAGGTTAAAAGGGCTTTATTAGAGCGAGATGATTTACCAAGAATTTTTTCCTTCTTTCAAGACAGGGGATAAGCATTGTCATTAAAGTTTTAAAATCCATTAGTAAACACTGTTGTTTACGTTTTGGGGGTCATTAATTCCCTGTGAGGTGACAGGGCAAGGTCTCACCGAAGAGGCTTTCTTGGGGAACCCAGTTTCCAGCCAAGCCCTTGATGAAAAGGTAGGCCATTAAAAATAAAAGTTGACAGAAGAAAGAAGAGATCAAACACGTGCTGGCTTTTTAAAAGGATGAATGCCACTTCTACTATTTACACAACTCCCGGAATTAACAAGAAAATTACCTACCCGTATGAGTCCTCAGGTGAGCTTTTAAGTGAGAAGACTTTGTATAAACTTTTGTGCAACCTAAAATAAAGGAACAGAGGGAGAAGAACACGTTGTCATTTCCAGGGTCTTTTGAAATCTTTACATTTGATAACTCGGGTATTTAAAATCTGGCTTTAAGGATGAAATCTCCCCCTTCACACTTATTAGAAGGTGTAGGCGGCCCAAACTATGTAACACTCCGGTCAAGCAACAAATGGAAGATTTGTTTCTTATTCCAGAGGGTACTTTTTACTCTGACATGTGCTTCAGTGACTTGAGAGCAATTCTAGTATGTATGTATATGTATGTATGTATGTATGTATGTATGTATGTATGTATACACTTACTGAATGTAGAGATGACAGAGCTAAGTCATTATCCAAGATGACTATAATTTTCTATACTCCTACTTTGTTTTTTTCATTTAGCATGTCACGCCACAGCATGCACCACAGTCAATAAATTATGCCCTATATTAAACATAAACTTGCTTATGCCAGCAACTTGGAGATATATTTATTACTGTCAAATTATATTTTGGGTCATGTATCTCATTCAAAAACGAGCACACACTAAAGGAGCCACTTCTGTTTACTTAAATCAGTCCTGTAAACAGCCTTCTGTTTGCCAAGAGAAATCTGCCCCCCCCCCCAAATTCATCACCATATTAGTCTCCCACTCTATTTAATCTCCAGGAGACTTTACAACTTTTTGCTGCTATTTATTCAAGACAGGGGTTCTCTGTGTAGGTTTGTAGCCTGTGCTGGCACTCTGTAGACCAGGCTGTCCTTGAACTCACATAGATACACCTGCTTCTCATATGTGAAATTCAAGTTTTATTTACTACTAAAGAGCAAGAAATCTTAAGTTAGCTTAGCCCCCAGAATGGTCTAGCCTTTAAAATTTGTTTGGAAATTGTTATTTAAGAGACAGAGTCACGCTATGTAGCCCAGGCTAGATTGATGGTCTAAGTAATCTTCCTGCCTCAGCCTCACTGCTGGATTAAAGGCATGAGCCATCATGTCTGACTAGCTGGTTTTTTTTTTTTTTTTAAATACATGAAACAAGCACTAGACTAGTATCTAATTACATACCAGCATAAAAAATGCAGAAACAGACTACTAAGAGAAACTAGGTGATTTATTTCTAGCTGTCAAATCACCCTTGCTATATATTTTCATGCCTAAGGTTGAAAACAGCGCGGATATGTGTGTATGCACCTGGAAACATTTGCACACATGCAACATAAAACACTACTGACACTTCAAGCACTCAGAGCACATACCAGGGTAATCGCAGTAGTGGATGCGCCTTTTCTCCAGATCGGGGTTACTCCTTCTATTGTATCTGACAGGTTGGATGCTTGGTGAACTAACTGGCAGAGTGGCAGGTAAATTTGGATTGTTAATTGCCAGTTTAGAAGCAATTGTAGCAGCATAGGACGGAGGCGGGGTTAAATTCTGGAGCATCTCAGCTTGTCTATCGGGACTTCCAGGCTCTGAGCTCGGTGGTGAGGGGGGAAAGTAAGTGGCCTGCTGTGGAAGAAACTGACTTGGCATGGTGTATGTGCACGGGGGCATGCTCTGGAACTGTTTCATTGCAGTCTGCGGAACAGCATTAGTGTGTGTGTTAAGGCCCGCCATGGCAGCGGACATAGATATGTTAAGGGTGTCCATGATTGCTGTCTGGTTTGTAGAACTGGGCATGTCTAGATCCGGTGTATTCAATAGCTGGTACAGGTGGCCCTGCTGGGAAGGGACAGAGAGATGAAGATCTGGCGTTGGAAGTTCTTGTTTGATGAAGATATTGTTCACCTCTGGAGCTGAGGTCTGGTGGGAGCTGAATATACTGGTGAACTCAGGGAGGGCCTGGGTCGGGGCTGGAGGAGGGGCGGTCGTCTCACTCTGGTGGCTGAAAATGGTAACAGGCTCTGTCTTGATCTGCGTCACGCATGGTCTCTGGGATTTGTAGAGGCCAGTTCTCAGGTGGGTGATGTCAGGGAGGAAGACGTTCATGTTGATACTGTAAGGTAAGCCTTCACTGTCAGTGAAGAACTGGTCTACCACCGAGGCACTGTCTCGTCTATACTTTTTATGCTCTGGAACAATTGGAACTGGAGGGAGCTGAGGTGTCAGGTACTTCTCCATTTCACATCTTGTCTAAAAGAGAAGAGACACAAATGCACAGTGAATCTACCGAGTGGCTCCAGAAGGATAAATAAAAACAGGACTTACTAAAAACTCACAACGCCAGCACGGGGACCAACTCCTAAGAGCTGCTTATGAACACAGGAGTTTATTTTGTCAATTGTGTAATTATCGGTTAGCCGAAAGTCTGTGCGGCTGTGTCTTTAGTAAAAATCACCCCCCCCCCATCATCGCCAGACAAAAGTGAAAGAGGCGAGGTTGGGGGCAAGGACACATCTTCCTTTCTGATGCAATCAAGTTTCACCCCAAGAAGGGTAAGTCTGCAATTTAAGTACAGGCTCGGAGTATGACTGAACTGCCTCGATTCTGTTTGCGTCCGTTACACTTAACGTGCTTCATTTGAAAACTAAAATCTTTGCAAATCTTAAAAATAATATCTCGAAGGGCTTTTATTTAGACAGAGCTAGGTATCTCAGGCCTAATATAAATATTCTCTGGTCATTTCAGTGCCTTGTGCTTTAATATAAGGCTCAATGTTTGGAGCAAACCCTTGTATCCGCTAAAACAAAACAATTACAGGTTCAACGTTTGATGTAAATGTTGATTTTAACCAGCAGATTCGGTAATTGGTTAATGTAATAATGAAATGTTCCTATTCATATCCCTATCTAAAACAGATCTTTAATTATCAAGGAGAAAATCACTCCCTTGGTAGACTGGTGCTAAGACGCCCGTGGGTGGGGAGAGGCTGCTGCATCGCCAGCACAGTCATCAGCAAAACATTTATCACGTCCTCTCCGTGGGCCAATGCTACATTCCCCCTTCCTCTGTAAAAAGCGCAGTCATCCCTTACCCTCCTGCTATCTCCCCAGAGAAAACTGCCAAAGTGAAACAACCACGTATCCCCCAGGCCCTGATTGTTTAGGAATTTACACAGTCAGGCTTCCGACCTGCCTGTCTTCCCAGCCCTCTTCTCTCCCAACATAATGAAAGCTTATTTTTCCTCTCAATTTCTCTTGACATTGAAAAGCAAGTCAGGAAAAAAAAAAAAAATACCCAACCAAATAAAATAGTTCACAGAGTAAGAAGCCGCTGCACCTCAATCGGTAAACAGCAGTCCTATTTTTGCTCCTAAATTTCAAAAGAATTTCATCTCTGACCTCAGATCATTAAGATCTGGTGGTGGACGACGACGGACGGGATTTCCCGGATATGCACGACTTAAAAATAAAGATTCATGCTCTAGCCATGTGAGTCACATCTGACAAATGCCACTGTCCTCTCAAAGCACGACGACACTGGCAGACCCCGCGAAGTAGGTACTGGGTGCAAATACACAATACAGCAAGAGGCTATTAAACCAAGCGTCTTGAAATAAACCAAACTAAACCCTTTCGTGCACTGCTCTCCCGCGGCGGTTAGTGGTTTCTGATTTTAGCTCTTCCAGCTGTTTGCATGTGGGTCTGTTTCCAATTTTTTTTTTCCTTGGGACTAGCTAAAAGTCCCGGGAAGTTTTTTTCTGGGCTATATGACTCCCGTGCGTGGGCGAAAGGAACAGGCGCTTGCTCTAATTCGGCTTCTGGACAAGTGTAAAAGCCAACTGCCAGCTTTCAACGCGACTCCGGGAGGAAATTTACGCGCACGCGAAGAAAAACAACACCCTTGGCCTTTTTGTGCGCGTGTTCCTTTTTAAGGAAAAGAGCAGTGTTCTAATACAACCTTAGATCCCCTGACCCCAGTTTCCCAAACGGGGCCCTACAGACCTTTCTAGGGTGAGTTGCGGGGATATGGAACCCCAGAACTCCAGTCTGCATTTCTACATCCCGAAGGACGCAGGCAGGTGGACTTCCTAGGCCAGGGCCATCGGGAGAGAGTGGTCAAGGTGACGCAATTTAAGTTGAGCGTGGACATGAGCTTTCATTCCCACGCAAGAAAACAGGCAAGGTGCGCGTGAGCGCGCGGCGATCTTCAGCCTCCTCTGGGCATATCGGGGTGGGCGATCCTCCTCCTTACTCCCCCCCCCATCCACTCCGCGACGCCCCGTCTGGAAGCGCAGGGCGGGGCTGCCCACCCGGGCACCGGCTCCCGCGCGCCCCAGCCTGGAGCGGCCCCTGTCGCCCGCGCCTCGCAGTGGCGGGACACGCCCGAGCCGGGGGAGGGAGGCCGGCCGCTCCGCTTACCTGGACCAGCTCCTCCGAGGGCAGCCGCGGGCCGGCGGCTGGCGGCGGCGCGGGCTGCGCAGGCGGGTGGTGGTGCGCGTGTTTGAGCTCGTCGCCGGGGAAGAGCGCCGCGTCGCGGGCCGGGTTCGCAGCGCCCAGCACCGGCTTGAGCTGCGCGAACACCGGCTCGTCTTGCGTGGCCGGCGGCTGGGGCACGGGTCCCAGGCGGGCGCCCATGGTCAGCACCCGCGTGGCCATGGGCGGTCGGGGGACTACAGGCGCGGGGCACGGGACGATCGCGATTCCCACCTCGCCCAGGCTGGCGCCGGACGGCGGACTCGGCGCGGGGCCGCTGCGGGGGACCCCTGGGCCGGCGGCCAGCGGCTCACCAAGGCGGGCACGTAGATCGGGACTCCTGGGCTCGGCCACGCGTCACCGCCGAGGTCCTCTGGCCGCCACTTTCTCCCGCCCCGCCCCAGCGCTCGCTCTCTCGCTCGCCGGAACCTGCTCCCGCCACCTCCGAGCTCCACCAGCAAGCTGCGAGCGCGCGTACCTGCCCCGCGACTACTGACACTTGACGCCCGCCTCTATTTCACCCAACTCCGGAGAGGCAGGACCAGCTCCCCCGACTGGCAGCGTCGTGGCCAATAGCAAGGCCCCAGGGCAAGCATCCAGCCAATGGAAGGGAAGCCCTACGAGGTCCCGCCTCCTACGGGCCGACCGCACCCCTCGCGGGCCATGAGCTTCGCGCGCAGAGCTGCAGCGCAGTTTGTACACAACTTCTCTGACAGATTGGGCCGGCGGAGCTCAGGGAGGAGGGAAAGAGAGAGCGGGTGGAATCTAGGATGAGGGGGAATCGGGGTGGAGACGCGGAGGGAGATCTCTCCTAACTGTTCTCTGCCAGGATTAGAGCGAGGAAAAAAAAAAAAAGTATTGCACGTCTTAGGTGTTGTGCAAGGACCTGAAACTCAGAAAGCTGAACACAGAAGGCAGCTAGGTGGGAAAGCCGAGGTTTCCAGTCTGGTCCAATGAGTGTGTATTTTTAAGTATACAAAATGTACTTTGGAGGAAAACAAGGGGCGGTGCGGTAACAAATGTAAAACAGCCCTCATTTCTGTGTTTTCAGCAGTGATCTATCTATCCTTTAGCAGATCCCTTATGGCCTGGATAAAAGCGTAATGTCAAGCATTTTTTCAAGTCCTTGCATACCAACCTAGGCATATTTCCCCCTCTGGTATTTAAAAGTAGCTACAAGTTTTCACAGACAGTTCTACCTTCCGTCGCCCTACGTGGGGAAAAGGTGGGGTTGGCCTTATGAATCATGAAGTTTTTAATATTTAAACCATGTTGATTCTAACCGGAGCATGGAATCTAATTTGAGAACCAACAGCCAGCTCAAGTGGGTATTTAAGTAGACATTACATCTCTGGCTTATTTTTGCTACCACTGTAGTCTCCAGAGGGATAAGAAGCATAGCCCATCTACCTAATACAGTGGCTCCATTTCCTACGAAACGGGAACTAAATAAGCCACAAACATTAACAAGCACTCAACAACTCTGCAAACTGCGAACCCAAATCTGTAGGAACTAACAGCCAAGTATACTACTACCCATTTGCTAGGTTGTTTTAATGGAGAGGGTGGGTGTTCTTTTTTAATTTAAAAAAAAAATTTTTGCCAGCAATCTCCGAAGGAAACTACTTTCCTTAATCCTTAATGTTCTTGTGCATGACTTTTATGTGTCATGTTTCGAAGCCAGAACAATAAACTTTGACAAAAAAAACTGTACTATTACTACATATATACATATGCTGACACCACATATTACCTATAGAGAGCACACTTCACAGTGAAGCATCGATTGAACAGTTTTTTTTTTGGGGGGGGAACTCTGAAAAGAAAAGAGTTTATCAGAGGCAGGAGTCTCCCTTCCAGTATACAGGTAAATGAATGTGCACAGAAAGGATCACGTGCGTTTTTTTTTTTTTTTTAAGCAAAGATAAAATCATACTGTGAACTCGATTTCTTTTCTCCCTTTTCCTTCCTGTTAGTAATGATTCATTTTTATAGTTGTGGTTGCTGCTTTCAGAGGATGGGTGATGACTGCTCTCATGATACCGGGTGTTATTAATAAGTGTCTTTGCACCTATTTCTCTAAGTGAACAATCTTATATGGTCAGCCTTCATCTTTAAAAATCTGGCCTCATTTTCTGGTGCCATCAGATAGCTCAGGGACAGGTCATAGAACTGGTGGCGGATTTAACTTTTTCAAGTCAGATGACCTTTGGAAGACTTAGTGCTCATAATATGACCAAGCCATCAGTGTGGAATTCACAGTTCTTAATAGAACATTTCTTCTCTTTTACCTTTTAAGTTTCATTCAATTTAAAGGTAATACGCCTTGGAATTTGTCTTTATTTTACTTTGCTTTTAAACCTGCCTAGATTTTTTTATTATTATTATTTTTGTCACCAAAGTTTCAGTGGGCTGTGACTTTTTATTTCAATAAGCCCTTTATGTTACTGGAAATCCTTCTGAATTTCACACTAGCATCTTAACATTTCCCCCCACTTTCAAGGCTTTCCATTGCAGCAAAACAAAAGCCCATGAAAGTATTTGACAAGCTCTTAAGAATATATTTTTGAAGCCTTGTCACTTTTTATTTTCCCACTTTTAAAGAAGAATGTATATTTGAGCCTGGCTTTGGCCTGGTTCGTGTAGCTGAAGCAGTTACAGTTTTTAAAATACTTGAATATCTACTTTTTGCTTAAATACGACAGCAGTTACTTAGACTTCATTTCTGGCATAGAGATTCGGGAAACAGGGCTGCCACTTTTAAGTAAGTAATGGTTTCTCTCAAATGCTCAGCTATGCAATCTCACAGAAGATAACTAGCTTAGCTGTGTGCAATAGTAAGGAAATTGAAATGTAATCCCTTTCTAAGGTATGTGTCATGCTGCTCTGAACATATAGAAAACATGTTTAACCAAGACAAACCGGACTGCTCACAACTTGCCCTATCAGCTTCCAAAGAAGGGTTAAAACTTGATAAATATTTTTCAGATTTTCCAGGTTCTAGGCTGGCGTGCAGCCAGCCAGTGTGAATGGACAGATCCTCAATTACTTTGAACTTTCTAGTTCTTTGCATTCCTCCCTGCTGAGTAGCCCTGTACCATTAGGGAAGATGGGAGAAAACACAAAACAAATGTCAGGTTTCAGAAATCAATTAGTGGCCTGGCAGTAGCGTGTGAACTGAAGTGCGCCAAAACGGGAGATTCTGAGGGAAAGAAAGAAAAATGCGGAGTAGCCAGGCTGGCTAGGAGGGCAAGCACAGGGGCAGTGTGCATGCCTCGGCCCTTAGTCACTGGGCAGTGAGGATTTAGTCTTAGAATAAACTCCAAGTGTCACTATCTTTACGGGAATAAATACGCCTGAATGTGTGGGGGCTGAGCCGGCATCCAGCTATGGGGGCGGGGGCTAGCAAGAGGCTGTGGAAAAAAAATAGATAAACAGCTTCTGAACCAGATGAGGAAAGTGAGGGGCAGGGCAGTGTTCACAAGAACACACTACCCGAGAAACGTTGTTCATTGATCACAGGGAGTCACCCAAATTTCACTGACTTTCACCAAGAGAATATCCACAGGCTATCCCCTTTCTGTACAGTTGGTGCTGAGTTACCAAGTGACAGTAGACCACAGAAAATGCATAAGAAAGAGCAACACTAACTCCTGATAAGAGAGCACACCGCGCCTTAGGATAAGGATAAGATTATTTACTTGAAAGTGACTTTTATATTCATCGGGTATCCTTGTCAGAATCAGGATCAATGGAATCCCAGAAGATATTTTGTCCTCTAGATCACCTTATACCTTTAATGTTTTTTTTTTTTTTTTTTTAGTTTTTCATTACAGCTTGGAGCCACACGTTTTAAAAAAGTTACTGAGATAGTAACTCAGTAAATAGAAGTTCCCATTAAGATTAGGCAAAATGCAAATTATTTTGATCCAGGAGGTTTAGAAATAGAATAGATGCTCTTTCTCCTTTTTGGGATGACAGATGTATAACCCAAATATCTTAAAGATTTCATTTTTTTGTATAATAGAAAACAATTTAATATCCTGGTTGTGCACGGTCTCCTGTCCCTTGTTCCTAAGAAATGCATTTTATTTAATTTTGGGTTTCAATGCATTCTCCGTGATGCTCCTCAAGGCTCTCAGTGTACACTGACATTGTGCAATTCAGCCACCCTACTTTCAAAACACTAGTAATACTTTTTTTAAAAAATAGAGATTTACCTTTTGAAGGGACTGGGATTGCTTTTTCCACCTTGTTAATATACTAAGCAGATGAAAATGACAAATACGAATGCCTTAGACCAAGTTATAGTCCAGACAAACTGCAGCTTCAACTGTACAGTATTTGAATTCTGACTGAAAATATGATAGGAAAGATGAAGAGACAATTCCCACCCTGAAGCACTTACACCAAACAATCTTTTAGAACATCAGGGATGCTACCTCATCAGCATCACAATGAGCCAATTGCTAGCCATGCTGTGAGGAAAGCGGTAATGGCACCAGGTTGTGGGGTGCAGCCCGGGATACTCCGTGGTCTGTGCATGGCTCACAGGGAAACAACAACCTTGCAGACTTTGGTTCATCCATGAAATGGATGCCACAATTCCGTGTGCTGCTGTGATCATGGAAGACGTGTGGACACCGTTCCAGAAGGACAGTTTGTCAAGTAGGAAGAAGGCAGAGAATTCGAATGACCTTAAGAAGACAAGGCAGGCCTGGTGGTACCCCACTATCACCCCAGCACCCAGAGGCAGGGCCAGGAGAAAGAGTACAGGTCTAACCTGCGCTCATCCAGAGTGACACAGCAAGACCCCCATCTCAAACAAGGCTACTGCTCCATCTAGAAAAGATATAAACATACAGTTATATGGAAATTTAACTTAGGTATCCAACAACACGACAGTGGCACACACATATATCACAAATACAGCGCATGTCTATGTAATACATACATATAATGTAAGACTTTGGTGAGCATGCTACTCATCACATCAAGCTATTGCAAGAGACTTGGAGTTCAAGATTGGCCTAGGCTACCCAGTAAAATTCTTGTCTCAACAAAGAAAAAAAGGGTAGAGAGGTGACTTAGTGCTTAAGAGCAGAGACTGCTCTTGCAGAAGACTGGAGTTCGATCCCAAGCACCCATGTCCGGTGACACACCACCACCTGCAACTCCATCTCCAGGGAATTCAATGCCTCTCATCTCCACAGATTTGTGTACCTCTGTGTGTGTGTGTGTGTGTGTGTGTGTGTTGCTCACGCATGTGCAGGCATGCTTATACACACATGTAATTTGAGATAATA